CGCCGCCGCCATCTTGTGGGGGCGAGGCGGGCGGGGGGCCGGGCCCTGGGCCTCTCCGTCAGGGCTGCCGTGCCCGTATTTTATAAATATTATGTCCTTTTTAAAATAAATACTATGTCTTTGTCTTCCAGCGTCGCTCTCCTCGGGCTATGGCCTGCTTGAGCCTTTACATCTTACACGTTTGTGTCACGCAGGGCCTGCCGTGACACTCTGGTACCTTTCCCCCAGCTGCCTCCCTGCAAACTGACTCTTAATTAAGTTTATCTTTTATGCCTTCCTGGAAGAATTGTCAGTCTGCTGAATCATTTTGTGTTATTATTGATGCATCCCGAGTCTAGTCTTCAACACCATAGCAATTAGCCCGGGTACGGCTGGCAGCGTTGCCCGACTCCAGCGTGAGCTCGAGCACCGCAAGCAACGGATTTTCAGCTTCACTCGTCAGCCCAGGGACGGTAAAGCCGGAGCTTTAGAGCAGGAGCTTTAAAACGGGACCGTTCCCCTGCTCACCCCGCCTGCCATCCAGGCCATCGAGGTTCGGAGCGGTGAGGGAAGCTCTACGGATCCTCCGCACGTTGACGTAAAGTCTCCACGTGAGCCCTGAGCAGCAGCTGCTGCGTGGCCACTTTTTGTTTTCGCCGGCTCGTTCAGAAAAGCAGAAAGCTATAGAGCCACAGCCAAAGATCGGGCAAGATTAATCGTTCTGACAAGAGTTAAAAGGAGAGCATTACAGCAAAGCTTAGCATCGCGTACAGATGGTTGAAGTTCAGGCGCAACGGGTTCGGGTTGGATTTACGGGGAGGTTTGAAGCAGTTTCTGCCTTGTCACGACCTCATCAGCGCCTTGCGGCGGGCAGCCTCCTCCACAGTTCGTGTTTTGGGGAGGTCTAAGAGCCGCTGCGAAGTCACGTTGTTTGCAGGTCACCGCGTGCTGAGTAGCAGCTGGTGTTACAAGCACTCAAAACGCCTGTTGGTTCGGGTGACTTGGAATTCTGTTGGCCCTAAGCCTGATACGTCCAGCCCTGTGAGAAACGAAAATCAAATTAAAACTTGCTTGACGGGTAAAGGGATGGAGGGAGAGTGAGCGTGGAGAGGTAAGTGGTAGTAAAGGTGTAGCAGAGCTGGAGATAAGGGATGAGAGTTGATGGAAGTGCAAGGGAAGAGAGGACAGAGAAACAGAGGAGGGGAGGTAACGGAGTGCTTCTCACTGCGCCGAGCCGGTACGTACAGACCTCAGCAATGTGCCAAAAATTCATATAATGGCATTTTTTTCCAGGTGGCGTAGCTGGAACCAAGAGATAAAAGCGAATCCCTCTCAAATACCTGCGTTAGCTCTTCCTTGCCTGAAACAGGAAGGTTCCTGAGCAGTGTGAGCCGGAGGAAGCTCTGATCCCATCACCCTCTACACGAAGCCAGCCTCTGCTTTTCCACCCGGACTTCCGCGTTCCCGCAGCCCTGAGCGGGGCTAAGGGTTGCGTTGGGACGGGGAAAAGCTCCGCGTTGCCGGATGAGCCGTGCTCGAGGCGCCGAGGGGAGAGGAACGGGAAGGAGACTGCGGACGGCCGGGCAAGGTCACCCAGCTGTTAGAGAAGCGCTGCAACCCAGGCACACATCTCAGGAAAGTCACCTCTCGTCCCTGCCGGAGACCTGTTGTATAATAAATATGAGTCATATGAATCCAAATAAGCAGCCTGCGGTTCAATCAAGGGCAATTCGTTTGTAGCGTGGCTGATATCGGGTTTTGACCTGGTTGTTATTGTGAGAAAGGGGACTTGACTTTCCAAAGGGAGCTCGATATTTTCAAGGTTTGTTTGAGAAGGAGTCTCCACGGACATGGAAGGGCTGGAGCAGAGTTAGTTAACAATTTATATTAAACTATAAGGACCGAGCGGAGGATAAACTAAGTTGTGTTCATATTTGTTCTTTGCAATGAAGGAAGAAACAGAAAAGTAGCCAGTTAAATGATGAAGTGTTACCCAGCAATCAAAAATGGGAGAAATGGGTATTTTCTGGTTAGCACTGCCCGTTATCTGTTCACTAGCATCCTTAATTTGTGTAAGGGATGGTGTCAGCTGGTCATTACGATACGTCACACGCTTACTTTATGAGGTGAAAGACTCAAAGGCCGATATCTAATCCGCACCGTGAGCGAAAAAATGACTGAAAATGGGTAAGTGTTCGAATTACACCAAGCACCAAATTGCAAGTGGGCGCACCCGCCGAGCTGTTCTGGCTCAGCAGAGCGCTCGCCGCCTAGGACGGAGCTGGCAGAAAGGAGTAAAGCGTTTTTGGTAAGGAGCGTTTGGCTACGGAGCCAGCTTCTGAAGCAGCTTAGGTCACTTTGGAGTCTTACTCCCCTGAGGAAATGAAGCTGTAATCCAGAAAGTGGTTTGGAGTGAAACGGAAACTTTCCGGAGTCCGTTATCGATGCAGGACCTCGTTAGCGCAGCTGATGTTTGCAGCTCCTTGGGCTCCGGAGTGGAGGGTGGCAGCGTAAGACAAGAGAGCAAGGTTAAAAACCAAAACCCTCCTGTGCAAAACTGATCTTGGCAATCCTGATCCTTTGTCAAATTTCACCTTTTGTTTATTATCTGGCCAAGTTCGTTTGTGGTTTTGGTTGAGTGTTCCTTCTGAGCCCAGGAGTCAAATGAAATTTGGAGTGTTGCTCAATAAAAGGAAAAAAAAAATTGGTAGTGCTGTTCTTTCTTTCTTTTAACGTGATGCTGTTTGTTTTCAAGACAATATTGCCTGTGTTCCTCAACCGGGAAGGATTCAGAAGAGCCTTTTTCAGAATCCCACCCGTCTTTTAACCGGGAGTTGATCAGAAAGCACCGTTTCTCTCGGCTCTTCTCAGCACCACGTCGCAGACGTGCCTCTGGCCGTCCGTCGGCTCGCCGCCTCTCGGCCGAGCGAGCTGCAATCAAACCAGTTCCCTTTCTGCGCTTGCCCTTCTACAACTAGGAAGCTTTGTGGTCCATGTGGTCAAGCCGCTGTCTAGGCAGCCCAGTCGGAGAATAACGTTCACTGATTTAGCAGCCGCAGACCGAGGCCGCCAAAAGTGTTAAGTCACTGGCCGGGGTGGCCT